TGGTAAAACCGAGATTACAAACCAACAAAATTGTTGCAATATTTTTCCATTTTCCACCAAGGCCCACAATAATATTTGTATATATTTTAATCCCATATTCCGCTCACACACGCCTGGCCCACTCGAGTGAAAAGATCCCCATCAGAGAATCCGATTTACACACCGTAAAAATAAACGCATGAATGAAGGAAAAATTCGCCCACACAAAATCAACAAAAACGAGTAAATTTAAAATGACGTGTAAGCAAAAACTATCCACGCATAAGACCAGAATTCCCGCAAATAACAAAGGCAGAAATCAAGAGCACATGCGATGAATACGTAACTAGAACGCCATAGAATATGCAACTGAAATTCGCCGAAAAATATAGAAAACAAAATATAAAGAACGAAACGAAATTAAATGCGAAAACCCGGGCAACGAGGGGTAGAAAAAAAGCGGCATGACATTTTTAATTATCTAGAACAAGTGCATTTAGCACACACCCACACAGACATGGAAATAGAGACGCCACCAACACACACAGAAAAATAGAAAGTGAAAACAAAAATCGCTGCATACTTTGCGGGATGTTGGGCATTTAAATGAAATTTCGTTTGCTAACTGCAGTGCAAGTGCGAAAAGAATGCGAAAATGAGGCAACAGATGATGATGAAAGGGGAAAGGGGAAGCGGGCTAAAAAAGTTAAAAGTGTTTTGCAAAAGTTAAATGAAATATTTGCCAGTCACGCAAGCATTTTTCACTCTTCTTTAATTAAAGCATGAACTGTTCCAAATCCATAAATGTGCCTACCGGGTACCGGAAAACATTTTTTCCTTAATCAGCCAAGCCTACTACCAGTTCATCCCCACCCCTTTGGCCAACCGTGTTTGCCTTTCCAAGAGCCGAAGAGAAAGCCTATAAAAATATGTTTTTCTTTTACGACCAACTTTTGTGTTCCTCTCCAAGTGTGTGTGCGTGTATACAGATTTATTAAAATATTTCTCGGCCAAGTGTGCAATGAAGCAGGGCGGAAAGTCGGTTGGTCTTGGGCGAAGTGGGAAATACCCTCGGTGGGAAATAATTGGGGAAGCCATTGCTAAGAGGTTTTCCGAAAAACTTTTTCTAAGACTATAAGTTTTCCTTGGAAAGTCGTAAGCTACGTTTTTCTATTTTTAAATGCTTGCTTAAAGCACCTCAGTTACTTTAACATTTTGAATAGTGCTAAAATCTGTTTAAAACGTGAAAAAAAGTTATTGAAAGTAAACTCCACATTGGAAATGAGTTGTAACCCAATCCAATCCAATTTGTATTTAATTTTAGAAACTTAAAACTTTTAATGTTTCCCATGCGATTCAGTTGCAATGATTTTCGAATCTATATTTTGAAAGGTCATTTTAATTCCTGTAAAAGGTATTAATTTAATCGGATAGGAGATGCATCTGGCATTTCATGCATATCCACCTATATGTTTAAGTTAATTTATCCCCATCATCGCCATAAAATGGCAATCAGGCAAGCGTTTCAGTCGCAGTTCTTTAATTAATAACGGCGAACGGTTTTTATTTTCCCATCGGCTGGCCGTAGATGTTGCGTTTACCCTCGTGGAGCAGAAAGAGCCATCAGGATCTGCAGATCCTGCCGATAAAACGTACGTATGTAGCTCTTTTCAGCGAACACGGCTCGTTAAATTGCACTTTGCACACGCAATTCAAACAGAGCGACAGAGAAGCCAGCAGTTGAGCGGTCGCTTGGTCGTAATAAAAGCAAATAGAAAGCTTTTTGAGAGCAGCAAATATTTTAATAATATTAAACCGGTTTGCAGCCATCGCAAGTTGTTTCCGTTTCGGCTTATTTGCTCAACACTTTATCCTTAGCACACTTTTCGGCTCTCACCGCTCGAGCGGCAATAGTGAAAGTAATTTGTTTATTTATTTGCCCGGATAATAGCCAAAGCTTAAAGTGAAAAGCAAAAGGCGCAGAACTTTCCACGCGTATTTGTGCAGCACTTCAGTTTTCAGTCCTGCCACCGAAACTTTCGGCCATGGCATCTCTCTCTCTCTAATCAAAGACAGGAAGGAAATACTGGGGACAGGATGGGGAAAATGTGGCTGATAACTTTATCGGCGTCAGGATTTTGCATACTTCATTGCGCTCGAGGGCTGACCTTTCGCCACTCAAAATGGGAGGGGGAAGAATATGTTAATACGCCTACAAAAGGGCAACAAAAGTGCACGAATAATGTTCTCAGCTCTTCTCCCGAACTATACAACCTAGAATCCACCGCCCCCCATTCAAACAATACACATTTCCGCCCATTGTTTGCCCTTGGCCTGCTTGCCTGAATGTTTGCTCTCGTGTGTCTGTGCTCTGTTTATGTTTGTTGACATGGAAAAGCCTAAAAGTTATGGTTCGGCATCGTGGCTCTGGACACGCCCATTAGGGGCGAGCACCGTGCCAGACATGACCATCATTTGCCTGCCTGCTAATAAGCGGCTCGAGTGTTGGCCCGGAATTAATGCGATCTCCCTCCATATATCGTCCGGTTCCAAAAGGCTACACTAACCGGACATCAGGATGTGAGTGTGTTTGGGTTTTTGTGCCAGCGGCTTTGTTTGCCGCATCGTTAATATCGCCCAAGGCCATATTAGTAACTGGACTAAAGTGCGTTAGTTAAGTCACCCATGGTTACGATTTGCTAATGAGCTGAATAAAACACAGTTGACACTAAGCTGTGGGCATACAGCTGAAAGTGTAAATTATAAGTTATGTTGCTGAAACAACAGCAGGGTGCACAGATTATAAAGTCGCAGAAAATAATCCCTTTCTCGAACATAAATGTAAAATGTGTGGTCATTTATTTAAAACAAATCATATTAAAATATATATTTTAACAAGAAAAAAGCTACCTACGGCTTATAAGTAGTGCTGTTCAAGAAATTATATAGTAGGTGCCTTCTTTACTGCTTTGCAACCTTCTGCAAGGGTTTAAAAATTATTTAAGGAACGAACAATTCTTTAACCTCCTTTAACTTGAATTTTCAGTGAATAAAAATTTATTTTTTTTCATTTCATTTTATTTTCATTTTTAAATTTTTTGTTACAACTTCTCAAAGAAACACTATTTATTCTGTCCATACAAAATATTTATTTACTTATCCAACTCTATTTAAAAAGTACATTGTACATTTCTAAGTGGTTTCTTCCGCATCCCTGACCAATGTGAGCCTCGGATCCTGTGGCCCAGTGCTCTTCACAGTCCGTCGCCCTGAGAATGGCCAGCGACACTTCTGCTCCTTCGTTTCCTAATCTGTCCCCTTCAGTGTTTTGGCTTTTAACGACCTCTTACTGGCACTGCCACTTGGACTCGGCCGAATCATCCGGCCGCTGTCACTTACGCATTCCACTTGAATAACAAAAGCTTTTGATTGATAAGCGGCCATAATAAATTTGTTATTAGTGCTGGAGCCGAGAGCAAATGAAGCATGGACGAGACAACAGTGCGGAGGTGTGAGCCTTTGAACTTGGAAATATATCGCCATTCGTAATGGATATTGGACAATCGAATTTCTTTTTTCCGAGAAATGGAATTTAATGCGCTTATTTGTATATAAATAGGAAAATTCCGTTGAATGTTCACACTTTGTTACACTTCAATTCAGGTTGATTTGATTTCACATGACACGAAGATAGGAGGATATATTCCAGTAAAAAATTTATGAATGACTGGGGAAAATAGTTTCGCAAGAAATTCTCCCCAAATTGCCAACCGGCGGTTCTGATTAGGTCCCTTCAAATTGGCGCTCGTCCAGAAACACACCCACTTCCGCTCACCGCCTCTGGAACGCCCCCTTTCAATTGTAATTATAACTTGGCAGCCCACGGCATGAAATTCTGTTTCACAATTAAGACGAGAGAGAGAGAGGGAAGCCGCAACGATTTCGCGGTGACTGGTGGAAATTTCGAATGCTAATTTCAATTAAAAATTTCATCCGCTTGCTTTGGGGCGGACCATCAATTTTGGAGTCCTGTTGCTTACGCTGATTGATGGGAAGCGAGTTCAAAGAGGTGCCAAATGCTGATGCTCTCTAAATATTTAAATTGGAATTGAAAGCTCCGCTGACGCAAGACACTCTTAAGTCACAGTTGGCCTAAACAAACAGGGTAGAAAGCTGGAGTGGCTCGACTCCCTGCTCTCCTCGATTTCCCTGCCATTATGTACAGTTGACAAAAAGGCCGGTGCTGGCATTATATTTGCCTTGTGTCTCGCGCTCCATTGATAAATATTTCCCTCGTTTATTTGTGTGTCGGATGTGAGCTGGAAAAGTAAATACAATAAAACACAATACACAATTAAAGGTGGTAGCGTGACACGAAGGTAAATAGTGGGATAGAATACTGAACTAACTGCAGTTTGTTTAAGTAGAATAAGAAAATAGTAATAGTAAATATGAAACAACATGTCTGTTATGTCATAAAAACATAAAAAGAAAAGATTATATTTGTTCAATTATACCAAATAACAAAAGTATTTGAGATAATATTTTTAGAAAGTTTATTTTTAGCATTCAAGAACCTCGTTCCCCAGCGCAGAATCAATAATCATTTACCAGGGCGCAGGAGTCAATCCCAGACATCCTCCACGTGTCGCAGAGCACAAAGAACGCATTAGCCTTCCTTTTAGCCCACTTCACCTACATTGTAGCCATTGTTGTACCGTTTTGTTGTTCAGGAATGGTCAGACATTTGCTGTTGAATTTGCTTTCTTGGCTTTCGCTTTATCGTTTGATTTGAGCCCGAGTCGCCGTGGCAATGGAACTTGCCCCATCCTCCAGTGGGTTCCCATATGAACGCTCGTTTGATGGTTGCTTTATTGAAATTGATTTCCTAATTGAACCAATTTGTGCAGTCAATGGATAATCAAAATGATTTTTGTTGGCCGAAATTAGTCGTCAATTTAATGGATTCGTCAAAGCAAACTGCGACTTTAACAACTCCGTCTAATAAAACTTTTGTGAACTGTACTTCAAATCGAAAGAAACTTAAGCTATGATGACCTTTTGTGTTAAATGGATTAATTTATTACCTCCCATTAAGCGCATCATCAACATAATCGACCTCAACATCGTCATCGTCATCATCGTTATCATCAGCAGCAGCTGAATAAAGAAGCTAAGCCACAAAAAGCCGCATAAATAATGAAACATTCTTTTATGTCGACGCCAACAAAAAATGAAGGTCGGGGAGAAAAAGTTGATATAAAAATAAAAATGAATGGCCGCCCTACATGACCAGAGGCGGTGCGTTTAAAATAATTGTTAGCAGAGGGTCTGGGAAGTGCTGGCCACAAAAAATATTTATATATAAATTAATATTTAAAGACCATGCGAAAATCATGAAATACCCTAAAAACAGGGTCTACTAAAAGCTGGATTAAAATGGCTCAAGCTATTAGGGGTTTTTTTCAGGAAAAGAAATGAAAAAGGATCCAAATTTAAATAGGGACCATTATTAAATTATATTTAGAAGCGAATTTAAAATGCAAAAACAACACCTTATTAACTTAGGTTTTGCTTGGAGTAAGAAAGTATCATCCGTAATTGCTCATTAAAAACATTCCAAAAACGTGAGGGAAAATCTTTTTCATTCACTTTTTCTGTTCATCAGGGGCTTGATATATTTAAAGAAGTCGCCTTGGCAGCTGAAAGCACTTTTTCCCCCACCGTAACGAGATCCGTTTGATTTATGTGGCATAATGTGGGCTTCTTATTATATTTTCGTTTCCGTTGCGTTAATTTGCTGAAATGACGTATGCAAGTTGGAAAGTTCGACGTGGTGAAATCCGCAGAGTGAACCAAAAAGAAAGTGAGGCGAAAATGAATAAGGGTTTTAATGTTATAACTTTTACTCGCCTGCGCACTTATTGCACTTTTTAACCGAAACTTGTGTATTTTTTTTCCCACTGCAGCGAATGGCGTCCATTTTGTATGCATTTGTTTTTTACCCTTTTTGGTTTTCCTGTAGATAGTTTTAACTGGTCGCGTATTTTTTTGTTTTTAATATATTGTGCGAAAAGTTTGGCGTGTAATGAAAAGCTTTCCTCTTAGCTATTTCATTTTGGCAGTGCTGGCCGGGGTTTTATTGAAAGTTTAGCACGATAGACATGCCAGATAAACGGTCTTAAAAAACAGCTAAAACCATGAGAGGTAACCAGTGTGTAGGTTTTTTGGTGATTCCACAAATTGAAAAGCCTATTTGTTGGGGATTATTGTTTTTGCCCCAGCACATAGGTTTTATTAAAAAGCCTTTCATGTTTAAACACTGAAGTACATATTTTAAAATGCAATACCCATTCTGTTAAAGTCATGAAGCTGAAAGTTAAGGTTAAGACTACCTGTTTTTGACTTGTAAATCCATCTCAATTTGCATTTTGCTTATGCATATCTTCTTGGGGATCGGAAAGCTCTTAACCTTTGTCTTGTTTCCAGTGTTCCTTTTAGGCCATTCAAAACGCTCTTTTTGGCTTCCCAAGGAGGACACAAAAAACTAAAAAACAAGGAACCCGAGCACTTCATTAGCATAGAATTCAGAATCGGGTCAGTTTGGCGGGGTCTTTCTCCGCCTTCGTTCATTCTGTATGCATAAGATCCATCGCTTTAAGTCTCAAGTCTACTTACATTTCACTTTGCGTTGCATTTTGCTGGCCCTTTCTTCTCAGCCTTGTTTTTTTGTTTTTTTGCACCCAGACCAGCTTAGCTTGTGGGTCACTTGACGTCCTTTATTCCACTGGTGTTGCACAATCAGAAACGCCCACATAATTATCGCACATCCATAGAGGAGGTCCCATTGTCCTTTTATCGTTATAGAGAGCACACACTCGGGTCCTTGCATATCCCCATATCTGGTGATAAATGCGTAATGCGATAAAAGAGCCCCGAAAGTTGTCTAGGAAAAGGCGGCTAGGGGTTTTTTCTGAGACAAAAAGCGGTTCTGAAGTGAGACATCATCATCCGTTTTCGCTGAGGCCTGTGTGCTGGTGACTGATTAATTGAAGTGAAAAATGTGCCCTGGCCTTGTTGAGTCCTGATTGATGGCACTTGCCTTTAATTAGAATTTATTGTGGCATACTTGCCATCCACTTCAAATTAAATTTGCAATTTTTCTAAAAAGCCCAACTGGGGAAAAATCCCCGCCGCGGGCCAAAGATATCGAGCGTAACAAGAGTTTCCTTTCTCTGCCTTGTGCGCCACCCACTTTTTGTTTGCCATTTGCAATTTAGTTAAATGTTTTTCCGGCTTTGCCTTTCGGGCGTGTGTACGCCTTACTCGATTTTCATTTCGCCGGGCATTATTCTAAAAGCTTTTCCGACCGAGGCCGGTCAGATGGGGATTTTCCTTTTGCATACGGCCGGCAAGTCATTCGTTCAGTCGTTCATTCGTTCAGTCATTCACTCACCCATTCAGTGACTCGTTCAATTGCAATGACAATGAGCCATCCTGGCCGGCTGCATTGTTGCCGCTTTTCTGGCAAATGTTACGCTGTCAAGCGCCTGTCGGCAGTCCATACTTTTCCAGTCTTTTCTCCCTACCCCCATTTCCCCCATTTTCCCACATTTTCCACCTGCCACATGTCTCGGAGGCATCGACATCAGCTCATTCATGCCCATTATACACACATTCGGAGCGGAGGAGCTGCGGCAGGCTGACAGCTCTGCACTTTTCCTTTATTTTCCCTCGGTGCTTTCTTTTTTTCCCATTCACCCGCCTGACAATCACATTAAGATTCAACCGCACGGCACAAAAAATATTAAATATAAAATAAACCGTAAAAAATACAATATAACTTGTCTGCTTAAATCGTTGTGTCATCAGAATATTAAAAGAGACACGTCCAGCATATTGAGATATCATTAAAATACGAAAAGCCTTAATTTGCAATTTAAATTTTATGGTATTATATCCTGGACATTTTTTCCGTGTAGAGTGGACTTGTCGGAGGACTCAACTAACCATGATTGCAACGACTGTGGGCAGGATCCGTCGCAGTCAAACTGTGGCACTAACCGTAATTGTTGACGAGGACTGCGACTCCTCGTCCTTCTTCCAGTATCCTGCTGTCTTCCTTTGTGCCCGCTGTCATTTGTACAATTGACAATTGTGATTGCATATGTTATAATCCTGAATGGCTGAAGGTGCAGCGGGATCGCGGGGGGTCGCCTTTGGATGGTGGGTTGTGGGTGGTGGGTTTGGAATGGATTGACATTGAGCTAGTGCGTAGTTTTTGCATTTGTGCTGATTACGGATTGCATCAAACGATGAACTGCGGATGAATGGGAATGTCAATCTAATGAACACGCGCGCTGATTTCAAAGTATTGCACATTGGGCGAAATTAATACTTATTGCGTGCACTTTTTCCGCACGAATTATATATTTGATTCTGTGCTTTAACCTTTGCAATTGGTGTTCTAAAATTGATATTTCCACTATGACTAAAAAAGCAATAAATCCAATTTTCAATCTTCTACTGTGTATTGCTTAAAGCATCAAAAAACTTAAACCTAACACTCTAAAAAATCTTTAAGCTTTAACAATGATTTCACATAAATGGATAAACAGGATCCACTTAAATTCAGGAGAACAGAAATTGCTTATATTCTTTTTAAATTGGCACTGGGTTGGCTGGTTGGCGTTCTGCTGGCTTAAATATTTTCTCCGCTTCGCAGCCAATCCCTGGAGTTGGCCGTTGCACGAACTCCAGCTGCCACTCTTCGTTGATATTTCATTTTGCCATTGTGCCGGCGCAAAGCTTCGACTGGCTGCGAATGCGTTTGGCGTTCAGAGCTCTGGCTTTTCCAGGGCGTGCCGCGCTCCGAAAACGGATTTTCCAAAATGGCTGCAATGGCCAAGAGTGGGGACCGAGCGCCGGCAAAGCGAAATGGCAAAAGTGCTGGCAAAACTGTGAAAGAAAACGAGACACATGGAGGCCATAAACTAACTGCATTGTTTGCATACTTTCGGCTGAGCCGAATTTCTCTTCTAAGTGCAATTGGGGCCTTTGCGGTCGAGAGTTCGATTATAAACCATCGGATATTGTCCCCAAAAGAGAGTGCCAGTTTGAGGCAGCCACGTTTTCCAATCAGCCCGTTCACACTTTTTGACGCAATTATGCTTCAAAGTTTGGCTCGAATCCACAGCGCTAACTAAGCGCATTCAAGTGGGTCTGGCTGGTCAATTGATTTTCGTTGTTTGCCTTTGATCTCGGCCGTGTCATTGTTGCAATTGAAGCGGGTCGAAATTGAATTTCATTCAAGCCATATCGTGTTAGCCAACCACAGCTCGCCAATTATGAAAGTTCTTTAAAGAAACGTGACCAGAAGGCAAAAGCATATATCGTTACTTGCTCTACACTTTCTTAAACAAAGTCTTATATTATTATTTTGGGTTCCTCAAGCATAAAGCATAATCAATATATATATATATATATATATATATTATTATAAAGTAAATTTACATGTGCATTTTTGCCTTTATTATTATCGGAGTGACTTCTTATTATAAGATATAAATTCAAGAAAAACTATTATTGTAATTCTAACTTTTCAATTCTAACTTTTCAGTTATTTTACTGAATAAGCCGTGAAGAATTAATTTAAAGAGCTTGAAGCGAAGTATTCTCAGAAAGTTTCTTAGTTACCCAGAAAATGTCTACAATTGTTAACTTTTGCTGGTAATGCAATCCCCATTGTTAGGCCACAAGCTAGTTTGGTTTATTCGTTCTGGCCTCAATGTCGTTCCTTTAACTTGCCAACCAGCCACCAGCAATCGAGCACAGAATTCTTGACACATTTTTGTTATGGTCATGTAAAAGTCAACGGCTATGGCCAAATAAAGGACGACACGCTGCCCCCGCTGCAGGACTCCCCTCCTCCCCCTCCCTCCCACTACCCATCCCTCATAAGCTGGTGTCCGTAACAAGTGGGCCACGCTGTGCCACAAATGCGATTACGTATACGCAACGTGTGAGGACGTCGCCGGCCATTTGCTGGATGGAGAGCGATAGGGGCGCACAAGAGGGCAAACTAAACGCCGGAGGAAGCTGAGGAGAATACGGAATGATGTGTGCGTAGGAATAAAGTATACGCCCCGTTCCCAAGCTTGGTTTTGTTTTTTTTTTGTTGCTCGGGACAGGCAGCGCATGTGGGCTGACTGCTGTCTGCTTGAAGTTCCGAGAATCAGTAATTCGTGCCCTGCCATTGGCAAGATTTCGGCGGACGACACGTGTCCGCCTTAAATATTTATTTGTGCGGCAGCAGGTTTGCCTCAACAACTGCCGCATAGTTGGCCAGAGGTTCGCCAAACTTTTACCGCACTCAAAATTTGTCGGCAGCTCAATCTCCCCGCTAAGCAAATCGCATTAGCGTCATCTGCCAAACGATTCGAGCCTTAAGTCTAGCATGGAAAAGTGGAAGTTAAATAGAAGGAGGGAAACAATGTAGACTGGATTAAAGGAGACTATTAAATCAATAGTGTGGTGAAGGAAAAGCCAAGGGGGAAGTTCAGCAGATTGTAACAATTGCCGGCAGCTTACTTCAAGGCAATTTATTGAATATGCAAAACTCTATTGCCCTGCTTTTCACTGTCTCGTTTACTTATAAACGGAACTGACTGAAATCGTTGGGCAAGGACAAAGGATATTGAAGAAAGTATGGATGAACTTTGACGATAAATAAATAAATGGTATTGGAGCAAAGTAATGAATAAGGATTATCTACACTTTATATTTAAAATAAAAAACTTATTTTATTGGCCAAAAGTAAAGCTGTTTGTTGTTTGTTTTTATTTTCGCGGTAGCATATAAAACACTTTCCATCTGAATAACAACATCAAGGTGAAATAAAAAGTGGAAATCAAATCCTTAGAGGAATGCTTGAGCTGTTCAATCGGTGTCTAACCAAGCAGACAATACCCAAATACCGCATCTCTGGCCTGCCCTTAACCTTTGGTAATCTCTTCTGATGCCCAATATACTTGAGCTTTATTCAGCAGATTCTCTCACCTTGGCATTAACTTTAAAGCGCCGCACATCAACCAATTTCTTATCGAAGGACACAAAAGAAAGCTGGCAATCCAGCACTTCCCCTGCGAAAACACACACACATTCGCACAGGCACACACAGATACTCGCAGGCAACCCATTGAACACATATGCCAAAATCAGGATATGGCGGAACCGGAGCGAAGCATAAATCGCCCTGAAATCTGTGTCAGTTCTGCGAGAGCGAGCGTCGAACGCAAAACGATACGGAGCACTCGCACTCGCACTCGGAGCCGTGGGAATCCGCATTTTAACCGCACACTGTGGGCGAGTGCCACGCCTTGTTTCTGGTGAGATGGGACCATCCCACAGTCCTACCGCTACTCCCCTCCCCGCCCACTTCTCCTGTCCGCTTGACGCCCTGCAGCTGCTTTTGGCATATTCAAATGTGCCGGGGACACTCAAAAAATGCTGCATACTTTACGGCGCTTTCACTGGGCCACAGGTGCGAGAAGTCGACACTAAAAATAGGGAGTAATGGACTGATAAAGGTTAATACCTACGTGTACGGTTTTTATTCCTCAATTATTAATAAAAAAATTTATTGATATTTCAGTTCTCATTACTATGAAACCCTTTTTAAAATCAAAATCTTCCTTCGTATTTTTTTATGTATTACGTTTTCAAGATTTTTAAATAACAATAATGATTCTTCCAATTTTTTTTGGTAGGATTTAATAAGTATCTTTGCTTTCTAACCATGTGTTTAAATCAAACCATTTACCATTTTAAATTTTCGATTCCCAATTCGATGCAATTACAATCGTAATCCCCCCAGCTACCCTTTATGGAAATGCAGTTTTCACACTGAGACTCAGCCTGATGATGGCGACGATGACAAAAGCCCGCCTGTAAAGCATTCGAAGCGAAAGGGAACCTATCCATATCGCAGATGCATTCCACGTGGGCGTGAATGGGTGTTATGTTAAGTGAAATGGAAGACTATGAAAATGAAATGGGGGTGCTGCCTTACATGGCGAAAAAGCCAGCTGAAGTTGGATGTCTAATAAAGCCAGAGCGGCGGTGTTCTCCGATCTGATGCTGACACTTTATTGGCAGCTTCCCCGTTTCACCATACATTCCACTGGGAGGAGGCAACTCATTTCACAGTTGAATGACACGAGCCCTTTCCCGCCATCATTACAGTTTAATACGTTCCATATCCATTAAGCTCCAGTTGGAAAACGTGGCCGTAAGTTAAGCCTTTAATTACGGAAAAGCGCTGCTTTACCTTTGCAAAAAAAGCCACTTAATTAAAAAGGCAAACGGTTATTTATAATATTATTTCCCTTTAAATCCATCACCTTTTCCCTTTCTGAAAACAAAAACTATATTAAATCAACATCATTTAAGAATGAAATCAGCGAATTGTAATTGATTCCGATTGATTTTTATAGCTGGCAAAATCTGGGGTCTGAAAAAGTACCCATCAAATCAGGGAAATGAATCGCTCTTACAAAGTTATAGTCATAAAATATCCCTCTCGTTTACTGCGCAACGTGATTAACCCTAAAGGAAGCGAAATTGAGTTAAAGTTTAAATTTTCATGGACCACTTTGGTTGGCTCTTTTCAGGGCTGGCAAACGGTTGTCAATTTGCACGAGGAAAGTGAAGCCATTAATTGTCCCACTAGCCATGCCGATTCCCCAACCTCCGGGCAATCAAGGTTGCGCAGTGGGAGCCTGTTTGAAGGGCCACGCCTCCCGACCACTCCCACTATTACTCCCACGGCTACCGCCCCCGCATCGAAAGTGCTGCCAATTGACGACGACATTGAGGATTGACCAGGCTACGAACAACAACGGGGACAACTACATCAACATCGACATCAGCATCAAGGATCCGGATGTGGGGGCCTTGGCGTTCCATTTAATTGTTTTGCAGGACGCACGTGTTTTGCATGCCAAAGGGATTGCGGAGCACAAGCTTCTAATTTCTGTTTGTGGTACCGTTTTTGGCATTGCATCCACGTAGCCGCGACCGCCTTTTAATTAGCCAACTCAGCCCGCTCCAATGAACTAGCCATCGACACCGCTGTCGTCGGCGTCAGCGTTTGCGTTTCGAGTTCGCGTTTGCGTTGGCGTCGCCTCACTTAATTAGCCAGGTCCAGGTGTCGAGCTTTTGGCGAAAATTGCGGCTTACGCCAGCCATTGCGCGTGGCAGCAATTCAATTTGGCCCGCTGAACACGTCGAAAAATATGCGAAAACTAAGGCTTCAGGTAAGAGTTCACGGCGAATGGCAAACGAAAGGTAATTGTGCTGCTAGCGAAATGCAAACGAGGTACAGTCACGTTAAACTACCAGCAACGCATCATGCTTCCAAAGGCACTAGAAAAAAAATACTTTTTTAAGGATGATCCAAAAAAGATAAGGACTAAAAGCGAATTTCTCCTGCTGTCCAAAAAAAAATAAGCTTCAGCTGGTTGTACTCTATTTTTCAAGTTTCGACGAAACTAATACACCCCTCTGAATTTGGGAATATCTCGTGTAGCTGTCATATCATATCATATCGACGCATTTCCGTGAAAGATTCCTATGTCGCTTTTTTTTGGAAATTGAGATTTTAATGCAAAATTGTTAGGCACCTAATGTCTCACTACCCTCTGAAATATTATAACTGAAAGCCCTATAGTTCCGATAAAAATTAAGTTTCAATTTTATGGTATGTTACAATGCTTTTCAATGTGCGCGCGAAATTATCGTATGTCCATACAAATTTTTTTTTCATTTGCATGGAAATACTGCAATCGCACAAAAATACCGAAATACAAAAATAAAGAAAAAGCTTCTCCTGTAAAATTTGATTTTTATACCCTTGTGTAGTGTACGGGGGTGCTGGTGAGCAAAATCTATCTCTATCTTTCGATAGTCGGTCGTCTATTAGCGGATGGAAGATACTATTAGAGAGGACCTTATACCTTCAAGCTTGGGATACGCACTCTTGCTAGGCTCGGTTCTAGCTCGCCGGATGTCGGGGTTCTTCCTTGCTTGAGAGGGTACGGTTGCACGCTACCACACTTTACTAGTGCGTAATAATCAAAAGGACAAACAATCAAGACTAATGGTTAAGCCATAAAACAATTAATTTAATATTGTAGTGCGCCGACACACTGAAAATCAACTGAGGATCCGATACTTTCTTTTGGGAATCTAGATGTTATTATCCCTTAAGTCTTTACCCTCCCTTCCATGACAATGTTACTTAAATTCTTGCATTGTCCCTTGGCCAAGATTAAACGATCTCTACCACATTATTAACGAAGTGTTCGACATAAGTACTCGACAGACCATTATTATTATTTATTCAAACTTCATTATTTTAATTAAATCCTATATTTCATTTATAATCATATTTATCTACTCTATGTTCCATTGATTCATATATATAACAATTTAAGAATTTCCTAACATAAGAATTAAAGTTGCATTTCATATTCAATAAAATTTCATTTCACAATTAATTAAGTAAGAACGATCAATCTTTCATTTATATGTTTATGAATTTAAGCTATGAATTTAATAATGCATTTAATGACAATAGGGCGGCAATTATAGGTTTTAAAATAGATATTCGTTTTAATTAGTACTCACGACCTTTTTATTTCTGCTCCATGATACGAGTTGTAAAGTTGGGCCCAAGTTCACATGTCCGTTGATGAGCTGTTGGTCAAAATATTTAATAAAATCTACTTTAAATGACCTATACAAATACCGCACTCATGCCAATTAGCAAGTTGTCAAAGACAAATTAAATGGATACAAAATAGAGACTCCTAATAGCCGGACATAGATCGCTGGACGGGCTGGACGTTGTCCTCAGCCGTTGGCCGACTTATGGTCGTCTTGGCAGCTCCTTACAGTGGCACGATCCGAGTTGTTGCTGGGCTGGTGCTAGGGCCAGGGGTATAGGCCAGATGTGGCTACACCTTCTGCACCTTCGTAGTAAAGCGATCCTGAGTGTCGATGGGTAGGTACTCCGCGTTGAATAATAATGATCTTGCGTTGAACGGCCGATGTCCAAATGTCAACCTACGTGGCGGTTGCGTAATCTCGCCACCGGAGGTTATGTTTTCCTCTGGGCCACTTTCATCAAGAATTTGGGCAAGTTGGAACTGATGCAATCTTGTTGAGCAGGCGTAGGGCGATCAGACTGTATCCGGCCTAATGTAGGAGCAGACTCCCTCAACGGGATCTACTGATATACGTCTGACGCCTCGCCTTCTTATGCGGATCCCTAAGAAAAATTCGGTTAAATTGGAGACCCACAAATTCTGCATTTGTTTACCTTTCACTCACTATCACAAATTCACTAGTTATTATTAATAACCTCCTGGTTATATTAATACACCACAGATCGAGATTATATAAGATAAGGGTAACACGAGGTTTATTAATTAGGCCTAAGCCAAAAATTGAACAATAGAACTTTCCACCAAGAGCGCAGATCAGGTATTGAATGCAAGGTTGAAAACGAAGTGTAGATAAGCCGCTCTTGAAAAGCTTTCAACTGCAGTTCTGATCAACGGTTGAATCGTACGATTTTTGCAAGCGTGACTGGTGCTTATCTCGCTTATTTGCATTGATATTGGTAGAGAGTAAGCTAGGCCTTCGGACCTGTGAAGTTACATTTATCTATGCGAGGGTGGGGTGAATAGTTCTTTATCGTAAAAGCTCAACTGGCCACTACACCCACAGATAATGGAGACAAGATTATTTCTTGGAAGCATTATCTGAAATTTTCCTGTTCTGTATATCTTTTAAGTGAAATACGCCTAAATTCTTCCCTTTTTCATCCACTAATTCATAGTAATATGGACTACGTTTCCTAAAAACTTTGGCTGGGATAAACACGGGAGCTAGTTTACTGCTAAATTTCTTTATGGCGTTGCTTTGAGTAAAATTTCTAGCGTAAACTAGGTCGCCAGCTTTAAACTGTATTTCCCTGGCTCGCAGATTGTATCTATTTGCATTTTCTTCATGAGACTTGTTTATGTTCAGCTTAGCTTTCCATCTCTGCAGCTGCAAAACATCTGGCTTTTGTAGCCTAGTGTCATCTGCTAACAGGTTCAAACTACGTAGAAGGCTGTAATCCTTGCCGTTAAGAATCATATTCTGCCCAAATGCCAGGAAATACGGCGATGAACCGGTACTCCTGTGAAGAGATGCCCTTAATGAACCACTAATGGCATTTAAGTTGTCATCCCAATTTGTGTGATCATTCCCAATATAAGCCCTTACTGCTGCCAATACTGATCTATTAAGTCTTTCGCTGGCGTTAGCCTGCGGGGAATATATGGCTGTGAATTTTTGTTGTACTCCAAAACTGGTAAGAAAAGCCTGAAAATAACTCGATTTAAATTGACTACCATTATCAGAAAGTATTACTTCTGGAACCCCGAAAGTATAGAAAATAGCCCCCTCCAAATATTCGCAAATTTTAGGAGCCGTGAACTTTTTAAGCGGACACAGAAAATGAAAACGAGTGTTATGGTCAACTACAATGAGTAAACCTATATTGCCCTTCTTCGTGCGAGGATATGGCCCCCAACAGGTCAATATATAGCTTTTGAAATGGCCTATCTGAAGTCAACGGTTTCCCCATTGGTGGTTTAAGAATAGTGTTTGGACTTTTTGTGGTTCGGCAAACTACGCAGTCAGATATATAGTTGCGTATTTGCGTGACCATGTATGGCCAAAACAAATATCTCTTAAGTTTTTCCACGGTTTTGCTCATACCACAATGAGCTGAACTAGGTGAATCATGAGCCTGGTATAAAATATCTGGTACCAAAGCTGTAGGAACCCAGAGTTTCCAGACGTTTTCCTGGTTGGCCTCGTCTGATGCGAACGAAGTTTTCTTATAAATGTACCCATCCCTGATTTGCAGATCGGGAAATTTGGACTGGTTGGCGGATATATTTTCTAGTAAGTCCGTGTATTCTGAAGATTTAAAGTGGGCAGAGTCTAAGTCAACTATCGGACCATTCTGACAAAACTCATCAATGCTTGGATCGTTTTGCCGAGACAAAGTGTCAGCTACGACATTCTGAGAACCGCTACGGTGTTTGATGGTAAATGTAAACGTTCTTAACTTCATTGACCATCGAGCTAATCTCCCTGACAAGTCTTTTTGTCGCATTAACCATTGAAGTGCTGCGTGATCCGTTATGACTAAGAAATCCTGACCCTCAATATACGCACGGAATTTTTTTATCCCTTTAATTACGGCAAGACATTCTAATTCGGACACAGAATAGTTACGCTGTGCCTTAGACAACTTCTCGGACATATACGAAATCGGTAGTTCTACTCCCTCGCGCTCTTGAGCTAACACGCAACCAATACCATAAGAACTGGCATCGCATAACAAAACAAATTGCTTAGAAAAGTCAGGCGTAATGAGTATGGGTGAAGCTGTAAGACAAGATTTTAAGGTTTCAAAAGCGAGCTGCGCCCCCTCATTCCACTCTAGCAACTTTTTCTTTTTCAGAAGCTCAGTCAAAGGAAAACTTATAGTAGCAAAGTTTTCTACGAAACGTCGGTACCAACCGGACAATCCTAGAAATCTTCTTAACTGCTTAACCGATGTTGGCACTGGGAATTCGGCAATTGCCTTTACTTTATCTGGATTAGTTCTTATCTGTCCATTTCCAATTATAAAACCTAGATATACGATTTCTTTCATACAAAATTTTGATTTGCTAACGTTGATAGTAAGATTGGCTTTACGCAAACATAAGGCTATTTCTTGTAGTAACAGCAAATGAGACTCAAAGTCCTCGGACAAAACCAATAGATCGTCTAAATATACGAAAACCCTATTACGGAGATGAGCTGGTATCACTCGATCCATCAGACGACAAAGAGTTTGGGCCGCATTGCAGAGACCAAAGGGCATCATTTTGTACTGATACAAAGGACGGTTTGGTATCGTAAATGCAGTATATTGTCGTGAGTTCTCATCTAATGGAATCTGCCAGTATGCATGTTTCATGTCGATACCGCTTATAAATTTAGCTGGCGGTAATCGGCTTAAAATACCGTCTATATGTGGAAGTGGGTACGCGTCTCGCTTTGTAACCTTGTTTACTTCCCTAGAATCGAGGCATAAACGATTTTTGTCCCCCTTCTTCACTAAAACACAGTTGCTACTCCATGCACTCGTTGATTCCTCAATAACATCTAAGGCTAGCATGTTATCTACTTCGGCGAACATCAGCTTTTCTATAGCTGGTGAAACCGGCCAATGCCGCTGCTTAACAGGACTAGTACTCCCAACATCTATGCTGTGTGTGGCCAAACTAGTGCGGCCTAAACCTTCAGATGCAAATGACGGAAAGTTTTTGATAACTGTCTCAAGTCTAAGTCGTTCACCTTCATGCAGTTGGTGATAATTTGGAGGCTCTTCATTATCGTCTAATGTTCCTAGATCTAGCTCCGAAACTATCTTACTACTATTCGTAATTTTATTAAGCAAACCGAACTTTTGCCAAAAATCTATACCTAAATATACGTCTTGTTTAAGATCGGGAATTATGAATAATTCGAGATCTTCTATTTTATTCCCATATGTTACAGAAGTTATAAGTTTTGAAACTACCTTGCTTTCTGTTCCGTTTGCAGCTTTAATTACACCAGAACATTTTTTTACGTTTTTGTGTTTTAATAAGTTCTGCGCAGCTAAGCCGCCTACACAACTAATTGTAGCTCCTGAATCCAACAACGCTTTATAAGTATTACCCTCTATAGGAATATCCGTGTAAAGTCTCTGATCAGAGCTTAAAACTATAGCGGAAACTAACTTCCGTCGATCATGATGAACTTTCTTCCAAAACTCTCTTAATCTCCTAGTTGATCGTTTGGGTTTTAATTTAGCTTCAATAATATCTACCTTTTCAAATATTTCTTTGCGTTTATTCATGTAATTTTGTATCCTTATATGTAAAGGAACAAAGGAAAAATGAATCTCAGACTGATTTAAATTTTCTGTTTCCTGACAGTCACTGATTTGGGTGTTTGGATTTGGTTTTGCAACTTCGGATTTTATGGATGTGTCTCCTTGTTGCTCAGAGAAACATCCTTCTGCTGGTTTCCCGGATTACAATTCGGACAAGTTGTTTTGTATTGTTCTTTAGCTCCACAACCGAAGCAACGGATAGTTTTTTTAGCCATGCAATCATCGTATCTGTGACCTTGTTTGTCACAGTTCCAACAAGTGATAGGCCTACGTTGAATTTGGTTTACTTCTTCACCCTCGTTTACTATAGCTGTCTCCTCGTCTTCCGCACTTATCTCGTTTACGTAAGAACGAAAAGGTTTTGGCTTAAACGTTCTAAGATTATTATAAAACTGCTCATGTCTGCGGATTTCGAATCTAAGCTGTGTTCTATTAGCGATTTTAAGATGCAGCAACTCATGTTGTAGGCTAGGCTTTGCGTTTCGAACTAATAATTCGACCAGTTGTGCCTCAGAAACTCCATTCTGAAGTCTATCTACTAGACGTTCCATAGACTCTTGGAAATCTTCAAAGGGTTCGTTTTCGCCTTGTCTACGTTTCCTTATTCCCTCCCAAATGTCGTAGTCTGTCTCAATATCTTCGAATCTTTTCCTAAACTCGAAACAAAACTCATTCCAATTGAAATTTGGATTGTTGCGATGGAATTTCCAATACCAATCACTGGCTTTCCCCGAAAACAAAAGATACAAATGGTCACACAGTAAAGCATAATCATTACCTAGATTCTGTTTGGTAAGTGAGCCTATCCTGTACAAAAACTCGTCCATCCTGAGGCTGGTTTTGCTGCCGTCAAACTTTAATCCCCATTTTTGAATAATTCCTGACACCTTTTCTGGGCTAACATATGAGCTTGTGTTGCTTCTGTTTAACCCTATTCTTTCGAAATTATCCCCCGAATTGTTGGAATGGTGTTGGTGTTGTTCTGGGTGGTTCCTAAGGTTCTCCCTAAGCGGTGGATTAATACCAGGTGTGAAATTTGTTTGAGTGGGCTGAGATAATTGTAAGTTTTCCAATTGACTTTTTATAGATGTTTCAATAGTCTTCGCCAGGTAAGAGGTGAGTTGATCAACAAGTTGTGCCTGCTGTGAGCTTATGGTAGACTGTATATAGTTGGTAATCTCTACTTGAGTACTTAATGTCATACCGGACATGGCTGGTGGCTCTGCAAGGATTCTATCTAGATGTCCTCTTTGTGTATTTCTAGTTGTCATTCCTCGTCTTGGAGGTGTACCACGGTTTCTGGTTGATCTGGTGTTTCTCCTTACTTGGTAACTTGCGCTGTCATTGTTATCTTGATATTCGCTTATGCTAGATGGTCCAGCTGTTGCGGCATTTATTTCAGCATACAAAGTGTTATTCGAATAAGATAAATTCATTTCATTGCAATCAGTTTTACAAATAGGACACGTCTGTGTGCTCTTTAGGTGATCAAGAACACATTGTTTGTGAAATGTATGTCTGCAAGGTGCTGTTGCTGTCAAAACTGTTGGTGAAAATTTTTCTTTACATATAGAACAGCAGTTTTCGGTTTCTTGTGGTATTTCTGGTACCCCTTCCGAGCTATGTTTTGCTGCCATTTTATATTAATTTATTCTTTTTATAATCAAAATATATTTATTTAGTTATTTGGTCTGTCTTTCTTTATGTCGATCACTTCCCTCAGAATTGGGTTGTACTTGGTCTATGGTCTCTAGTTTTGTTCACTAAGAAATCGGACAATATACAGACGTTAAAGTGGGAGTATACTGTATTCCAAGAAAATCAAAATGTAAACAAATCAGAGTTAAGAAACATATGGTGATGAACTCCTATGGTTTTCTGATGGCTATGTTTAGGTCGATCAATTCTAATCTGAAATGAAATCGCGTATTCCTAAATTTGACTATCTCCTCCAAATCGATGCTCTCAATCCAATATGTTAATTTAATGAAGTTAGTTTTATTGTGTTTCAAAAATGGATGGTTCAGTCTTAGAGCTTGTGTACTCAACCAAGTATGCAAGCTGTCGAGCTCCACGGGTTGGGCGCCAAAAATGTGTAGTGTACGGGGGTGCTGGTGAGCAAAATCTATCTCTATCTTTCGATAGTCGGTCGTCTATTAGCGGATGGAAGATACTATTAGAGAGGACCTTATACCTTCAAGCTTGGGATAAGCACTCTTGCTAGGCTCGGTTCTAGCTCGCCGGATGTCGGGGTTCTTCCTTGCTTGAGAGGGTACGGTTGCACGCTACCACACTTTACTAGTGCGTAATAATCAAAAGGACAAACAATCAAGACTAATGGTTAAGCCATAAAACAATTAATTTAATATTGTAGTGCGCCGACACACTGAAAATCAACTGAGGATCCGATACTTTCTTTTGGGAATCTAGATGTTATTATCCCTTAAGTCTTTACCCTCCCTTCCATGACAATGTTACTTAAATTCTTGCATTGTCCCTTGGCCAAGATTAAACGATCTCTACCACATTATTAACGAAGTGTTCGACATAAGTACTCGACAGACCATTATTATTATTTATTCAAACTTCATTATTTTAATTAAATCCTATATTTCATTTATAATCATATTTATCTACTCTATGTTCCATTGATTCATATATATAACAATTTAAGAATTTCCTAACATAAGAATTAAAGTTGCATTTCATATTCAATAAAATTTCATTTCACAATTAATTAAGTAAGAACGATCAATCTTTCATTTATATGTTTATGAATTTAAGCTATGAATTTAATAATGCATTTAATGACAATAGGGCGGCAATTATAGGTTTTAAAATAGATATTCGTTTTAATTAGTACTCACGACCTTTTTATTTCTGCTCCATGATACGAGTTGTAAAGTTGGGCCCAAGTTCACATGTCCGTTGATGAGCTGTTGGTCAAAATATTTAATAAAATCTACTTTAAATGACCTATACAAATACCGCACTCATGCCAATTAGCAAGTTGTCAAAGACAAATTAAATGGATACAAAATAGAGACTCCTAATAGCCGGACATAGATCGCTGGACGGGCTGGACGTTGTCCTCAGCCGTTGGCCGACTTATGGTCGTCTTGGCAGCTCCTTACAGTGGCACGATCCGAGTTGTTGCTGGGCTGGTGCTAGGGCCAGGGGTATAGGCCAGATGTGGCTACACCTTCTGCACCTTCGTAGTAAAGCGATCCTGAGTGTCGATGGGTAGGTACTCCGCGTTGAATAATAATGATCTTGCGTTGAACGGCCGATGTCCAAATGTCAACCTACGTGGCGGTTGCGTAATCTCGCCACCGGAGGTTATGTTTTCCTCTGGGCCACTTTCATCAAGAATTTGGGCAAGTTGGAACTGATGCAATCTTGTTGAGCAGGCGTAGGGCGATCAGACTGTATCCGGCCTAATGTAGGAGCAGACTCCCTCAACGGGATCTACTGATATACGTCTGACGCCTCGCCTTCTTATGCGGATCCCTAAGAAAAATTCGGTTAAATTGGAGACCCACAAATTCTGCATTTGTTTACCTTTCACTCACTATCACAAATTCACTAGTTATTATTAATAACCTCCTGGTTATATTAATACACCACAGATCGAGATTATATAAGATAAGGGTAACACGAGGTTTATTAATTAGGCCTAAGCCAAAAATTGAACAATAGAACTTTCCACCAAGAGCGCAGATCAGGTATTGAATGCAAGGTTGAAAACGAAGTGTAGATAAGCCGCTCTTGAAAAGCTTTCAACTGCAGTTCTGATCAACGGTTGAATCGTACGATTTTTGCAAGCGTGACTGGTGCTTATCTCGCTTATTTGCATTGATATTGGTAGAGAGTAAGCTAGGCCTTCGGACCTGTGAAGTTACATTTATCTATGCGAGGGTGGGGTGAATAGTTCTTTATCGTAAAAGCTCAACTGGCCACTACACTTGCAGAGCAAAAGGGTATTATAATTTCAGTCAGAAGTTTGCAACGCAATGAAGGAGACACCTCAGACCCCATAAAGTATATATATTCTTGATCAGCATCACGATCAGAATCCAAATATGCATGTACGTCTGTCCGTCTGTCCGTCTGTCCGTCTGTCCATCTGTCCGTCTGTCCGTCTGTCCGTTTCCGCGCAAACTAGTCTCTCAGTTTTGAAGCTATCTTGATGAAACTTTCCCAAAAGGTGTGTAGTTATTGCACGCAGTATATAAGTCGGAACGAGCCGGATCGGCCGACTATATCGGATAGCTCCCATATGAGAGAATGAAATAAAAAATTCTCACGCCGTTGTTTTTGATCAGATCGACTTGAATTCTTCAAGATGGCGTTTTCTAACTGTTATTGAATTTCGGATTAAATTTGATCAAAATCGGATAACTCTATCATATAGCTGCCATAGGAGAGATCGAAAATTATATATAGAATTAATGGAAATAAATTGATAACATCGTTGTTTTTTATCCCACGAGCATGATTTTTTGAATATCAAGTTTTTTAACAACGTTTATATTGGAAAAAAGGTTTCATAAAAATCGGTCATCTATATCTTATAGCTGCCATAGGAAAGATCGAAAAATCTATATAGAAATAATGGAAATAAAATTATAAAATCGTTGTTTTTCATCAGACAAGTATGATTTTTGGAATATAGAGTTTTCTTACGACTCTTGAATTACGAATTAAATTTGATCAAAATCGGACACCTATATCGTATAGCTCCCATATGATCTATAGTAAAAATATGGAAAATGAATAGAAAAATCGTCTTAGATTCGATGTTGTCTAGCCTTTATGCGTTTTGTTCGACATATTTGATGACTGCAAGGGTATATAAGCTTCGGCTTGACGAAGCTAGCTTCCTTTCTTGTTCAACATACAATACATTCGCGGAAATGCGTCGATATAAACAATCGGTGAAAAACTGGAAAAATAAATTAAAAAGTCGTCATTACTTCGATCTTGTTTGGACTTTAGGCATTTTGATTGACATTAGTGTTCTCTGTTAAGTACGAGATTATATAAAAACCACTTAAGGGAACACTCTTTTGTATATAGCCAAAACAATTGGATTAGATCGGGAAAATGTAAATCTAAATCTAATATTAATTTTGCTTATACTCTGTGTATCACAGCTTAGTAATGTATCGCGTCGATCCGCTTCCAAGCAGAGTGTGCACAGACCAAAAACTACAATGGGAGCAAAGTACAGTCGCGGCAAAAAGTGCGCTTGAAACAAAGCTGCGTGCAAGGTGGCGCTGCTTTTTGGGGGAGTGCTGGCAAATTGCATGCGCTTGACCTCGACGCGACTCTAGATGCTGGGTTCGGTGGGGTGCTGGCCTCTGGGTCGAGCCCTTTTTATTTTCGGGGCTGGAGCCAAGAATGCAACGAGGCCGAACGGAGAAGGAGGAGGAGGAGCTGCGCTTGAAGGCATCTTTTGTGGCATGTGTACTCAAAACTGCGTGAAAAATTAGCTTCATTGCCAGTTGTGCAGCAACTGCGAGTGTGTTTTTGTGTGTATGTGGCGAGCTGTTGCCGCTCACTTCGCTCTTGTCCCGAAAGTTTTCCATTTTTTTTTTTCTCCACTTTTTCCTATTTCCCCATCTTTTTTTCGGCTGTTCTTTTGTCATGACTGTATGCAGCAGCTGGGAAAAACTAGCAGAGGCCGGCAGTTGGCTCACATTTTGTGGCTTTGGCATTGCACGACAATGTGCTGCCTCCAAACGGCTGAGTGGCTAATAAAATGCACCAAATTGCAAGTGCGTGCTGTTTTCCAAGTTTTTACCCGACGAATCCTGCAGTTTTCACTCTCACTTTTTTATGGAATCGAGAAGTTTTCTCCCTGGCGAACACAAATCATACGGGCAGTGCCTCACATTTTGAAACTTATTGCTTTTATCCACAAACGCGTTCCTGGCATGAAACTTGAGCAACTTGACAATTTTTCTAAAAGAGAAAATTTGGTTAGAGGAAGATGCATTATTTAATGGTAGTTTAAAACCAAATATTAAAAAAGCACACATGATTAATTCTAGAATTGGTCTATATCTTTTGAACTTCTGGACTTTATCGACTTGCAATACATTTAAAGGTATATTGTTCTACACAAGAAAAGCAAAGGAATATATCCATCTCAAGCTTTAACTGTTATTCGTTTACGTATACTATTTACATTGTTTTTCATGTCCCAACATAGAAACATTTGTATCTGTCACTCAGTAATATTTATTACAGCTCTTGTAAATAAATATTCTCAAACTTTTACGTATTTTCTGAACAATTTAAAATAAACCAACTACGCCGGAAACTTTGCCGGGATTTCGCAAATCCCACACGCGCAGAAAAGCAGAAAACATGCAAAAATCAAGAAAATCATCGAACAATTTTGCCATCTTACGTTTATACCTTAGCCATTGTGTCCGCCTTCTTGACGGTTTTCCCTGCCAAGAAGAAAGATTTAGCAGGAAACCTTCGGTTCCTCCCCCCGAGAATTCCAAGAATTTCCCGTGAAATCTGTTATCTGTCTGAGTGTGCATGCACCCTCCATGTGTGTGTACTTGTGTGTGTGTGCGTGTGTTGTTTTTGCATTTGTCATCGCAAACTGTTTTACTGCTTACCCAGCAGCCAATTTGGAGGCGCCCCAAACCACTCAGTTATCAGATTTTCCAGGTTACTGTGCAAGTGCACTGCGGAAAACGGATAAGTTATATTTTCACAACATCATATTTGCATATCAAATATAATACAATTTAATTGATAAAGCTAATTATAGTTTGCTTTTTTCATATTGTATGTTTTATTTTCTATTTATATTTTATAAATAATTATGTTACCTCAGAAAAATCACATTAAACCTTTTAAAAGAAATTTGTTATTTTTCTATTGATCTTTTTCTATTTTGTATTTCTTTGATTTATTCTATTTTTTCTGTGTATATATGAGCATCTCTGCTGAAAGAAACCAAGCACACATGAAAAAAGAGCAGTGGCAAAACAAAAACAAAGAATCGTAACTGAAAATTTATTGTAAGCCACGTGCGATTTGAAAACGGCAAACAAAGTGCACTGGCATTAGTGTATGTGTTTTTGTGTGTGTGTGTTTGTGTGTCTATGTGTGGTGTTGTGGAACGAGGTTTGGCGGGTGTGAAGGACAGGTGTACGAGGGGAAGCCGCAAAACGAGAGTTTTTTTTTTTTTTTTGAAAAATAAGAGGGAAAGAAAGCGTACCCTTGGGTAAATCCAATTAAGTTTCACTGGAACGAAATTTCGGACATCAACTTTGTGTTTGTTTGGGTCAAAACCTAAAATACCTAATGCTCTTGAAACGTGGTTTAAAATGGGACAAAATGCTGAAGAAATATTATGTCAGCAACGTTGACGAAGGTAATTAGGACTTCAGTTACTAACCACAGTAAACGAAAACCTTAATTGACCATAAAGAAAAACAATAACTTAAAGGGTAGCTTGAAAGATATTTTATTGAGCATTTGTACATATTTCGATTTCTTATTTGTGGGAAGTCCTGATAAACGGGTTTGCTTGTGAACCAAACAATACCTGTAAAAAATGAATGCCAATCAAAAATGTCACTTAAAAAAGGTTTACTGATTTTTTGAATAATGGCCCATATATATTATGTGAATCACTGCTATTACGTTTCGTTAAATTTATGCAGTGTGCTTCCTCATATTCCCCTATTTTGTAAACCTTTGCCTCTCCTTTTTCCTGTATCCATAATTTCTCCATTTTGTGTCAAAGCTCTTCTAATGTCAATGGATTTCGTTGGGGCACATAAAACGGATTGCTAAATTTGAAACAAAACCTGCACAAAGTTGCTCGCCAATGTTGTCACAGTTGCTGCTCTTGCTCTTGCTCTCGATTTGAAATGCCAGTGCTTTGTTCCAGTTCGATTTGGTGTTCAAATTGGAAACGGTGTTATGTGAACTAGATGGAGCATATAAGGTGGCAACAGGGGTGTGGGGAAAGGTGGGGCCAACAGACACATGGCCAAGTGAGACAGAAAGCCGCCGTAGGCACAACCACACACACACACAAGCCCAGAGAGACAGGACGAAAGGGAAGGACATGGCAGTCAGTCAAGTGTAAGAACAAAGTACTCGAGGGCATATCCCAGGCCGAGCTTAAAGGGGGCCAAAATGATTCTGCCACCTGGTCTGGGGCTTGAGGACTGGGTTTTCGGGGTCCTTCAGCATCCTTCTCCTCCCACCTCCCGCCGAACCCCCCGTATTGACACACATAAAGTAGCTTAGTGATTGACAAATAACAAATAGACACGTAACTAAGCTAAGCGCCCTGGCTGGCAGGCCAGCAAACATTGATTTGATTAACTTTTGACAATGGACCCAAGAGCTCCGAAAAGGATTGTCCGGGTCGAAATTGGATTAAAATGGGTAGCGAAACGGCCAGCATATCCTGGTAGATGATGTTCAAGAAGAGCAAAATCGATCGTGATGGAGGTGCCACCCTTATCAAATTAAATATTGATTTTAAAGAACTTATGCAGATAGAAGTGCAAATAAAACAACTTCAGGTACTTAGCCTACTTCAAGTTTTATTCTTCTAGATTACGAATAGAACATAAATCAGGCAAGTCTTAACGGACAAACCACTTTTAAAATTGATTCTAAAGAAATAAATTAAAATAAAAAATTTTCAAGTTCCTATCTTTTAAGATGAAATTGAAAAACTAAGTCTATTTTACTTAATTTTTTGGAATTTATATCTTATACAAAATGTATATAATGATTCTTTGAGCTGGACAGGACATTCATAAATATTTTTCTAAGATACTCAACCCACAATTTCCCAATCCACAGTTCTCCAATCTAAAACTTTCCTATCACGCACACACTGCAAAGTTTGTGCCTGTAAAAATTTGCAATTTTTGTTATTGTTTTGGTTTTGTGTTTGTC